TACGCTCTATAATGTCGTTTAATACAAACAGAGTTATTTGAATGAATTCTGGCCAGTTATCATAAAAACATAGCCAGTACAGGTTAAATTCGAACAATTGATGCTAGGTGCTTCTTATACATTTGACAAAAAATGCACAAACACTTCTGCAAATATCCCAAATTTAGAAATTACTAGTGTGACTACCTCATTTCAATCGAAGTAGAAAGAATCGGCCTACAAATATGTGGTTGTTTATTCAAAACATTTATTTTTAACTTTATTAAAATTATATCCCTAGATTTTTTCCGGTGTGTGTAGCTCAAATTTCCTTTAATGGTAGGCAATTATTCAATACAAATTAACTTTTTAGGTGACTGAAATATTAAATAGTTTACAACATGGTATATCACTGTAAAAATATATTATTTTTATGTACAATTAGGGCCCGATACATTTCAAAAAGTAGAATATTATTTTATATTAAATGAGGTATTGTACCAACAATCAATTTATATTAATACCGGAGATTAACAGAATAAATAGTTCTTTTTTTTATGCTACAAAAATAAACTATAGAATAGTATTAAAAAAGTATTTAAAAAATTAAATAAAAAAGTTAGGCCCCGGCCGAGATAACTCCGGTCTCTCGCTTCCCTAGTCTAACTCTTCACGCACTACTCCACAGTAACTTGATTAGCGATCGTTCAATGACGGTGTATAAACAAAAAAAAAACAGGTTCATTACAATATGTTGACGATTTGAATTGGCGCGCGGAGCGTGCTGACCAATAGCGCCTGTAATCACCTGTGACGTAGCGACCAACCTGCGCAATATCATACCTTTTCTTTCTACCATGGTGGTAATCACTAAATTAGACTTTTATGATATACAATTTTTTTTGACATTTTTTTTCGACCAAGAATTTTAAATATTTTTTTTTCTCAAAAACGGTTAATGTTAAATATACAGGGTTGTTCACCACAGACGACACGGAGTATTATAGCTAAACGATTAGATCTTTACAAATTGTAAGTTTTGGGTTTGTTGAAAGACTATTAGAGCTACAATTTAAAAATAGTCTTAACAGAACACAGAGTATCCCAAATAAATAAAAAATATCAAAGTTGTATTTTTTTAAATGGAACACTCTGTATATTATTACGTTTTTAGTTTCTACGATTTTTTTTACGAAAGGTAAATTTGATTAAGGTTTATTATACTTAAACCTTACCGTTTTTGAAATATTTTCAATTTTGTGAAATTGCAGTAAAAACTTTAAAGCTTCATTTCTCCAAGGGTATCAATGTTTTTAATACTAAATATTTAATGAAGTTTATTTATTGATCGGTTATTGTGTTGCAATAATAAAAATAATACTATCTTATTACAGAGTGTCTAACAATTTATTTTAAATAATTATTAGCTTCAAACGGCAATAACTACTTTAATTTAAATAGAATGCCCTGTATATTTTAGGAGAATCAGATGCACAATTAAATTGTCTATCGAATTGTATTATACCATTTTTTACCTATCCCTTCAAGTTTTCGTAGAAAATGCATTTTCTTATAATTTAGACCTCATTTATCAATATATCCATGGAATATTGACATTTTAGATTGTTTTTAAAGCAACAAATGTACAAAATGTACAGACTAGTAATATTATCGTTTTTAGCAAAACAATAATATTACTAGCCCATTTGTATGCAAAAAGAAAACTATTTAAATCTTTATAAAAGAGTATACCATTAATTAAATATAACACCATTATTTCCGCCCATATACTAATTAATTACATACTTAATTGTGTTTGTTAAAAATTATTATAAATAAATGTGGATTTGAGTCAGAAATCAATATAATAATAAGTTAACAAATTAAAGTCTCTGTTGTTATAAATAAGCATTTATTAAAAAATGAAATATCATTTTTAAGGTGTTACTTTTTATCACACTGTCTAATGCCCATACAAAATTCAGTTTTTTAGTATTTGGAGCAATTATTATTAATCAACGCAAACAGTCAGTTAATGTAGTTTAAATACTGGAATCATAATAATTGATCCTCTTTAAAAAATATTTAAACAGTTTTTTTATTTTTTAATGAAATAAACGAATTATATCGACAATATTAGTATCTGTACTCTTTAAAAATTTGGTATCTTTAAAAATAATCTAAAATGTCAATAGTCCATGGGTATATTGATAAATAAGTTCTAAATTACAAGAAAATGCATTTTCTACGGAAACTTAAAGAGATAGGTAAAAAATGGTATAATATAATTTGATAGACAATTAAATTGTGCATCTGATTCTCGTAAAATATACAGGGTGTTCCATTTAAATTAAACAAGTTATTGCCGTTTGAAGCTAATAATTATTTAAAATAAATTTTTAGACACTCTGTATAAGGTAGTATTATTTTTATTATTGCAACACAATAACTGATCAGTAAATAAACTTCAGTAAATATTTAGTATTAAAAACTTTGATACCCTTGGAGAAATGAAGCCTTAAAATTTTTACTGCAATTTCACAAAATCAAAAATATTTCAAAAACGGTAAGGTTTAAGTATAATAAATCTTAATCAAATTTACATTTATTTTAATCGTAGAAACTAAAAATGTAATAATATACATGGTGTTCCGTTTAAAAAAATACAACTTTGATATTTTTTACTTATTTGGGACACTCTGTATCTTGTAAAATTATCTTTAAATTGTACCTCTAATAGTCCTTCATCGAACCCAAAACTTACAATTTGTAAAAATCTCATCGTTTAGCTACAATACTCCGTCTCGTATGTGGTGAACAACTCTGTAGATCGTTTAATATCAAAATTCACAAAATTTCACAGAGAATTTAATTATGTAATAAAAACTTAAAATAAGAAACTTGCTGTCAACATCCGGTATTTCCGGTAGTGCCGCCATATTGAAAATATTTTTAATCGATAGATCACGTTGTAAAACAGTGATGTGCAGAAAAATCTCTGATCTAGATATTGTAGTTCTCTAGAAATTTCTAATGCACCCTCACAACACTTTTTGCTGCAGAATTTTTTCATAATTTGCAAAAGTATGATATGCAATTACTTTTTATATATTTTTTGCGTATCACTAAATTTGTATAAACAATGTATATATTTAATTATAATATTTACATACAACTTATAATATTTTATAAATAATTTTTAATGAAATATCATAAATAAAAAAGCAAGCTCTGTAATTGACAATTAAAGAATAATAGGTATATTTTATCAATTTATTGGAATTATTTCATTTCATATTTTATTATATAATTCACCGTTTTACATATATTCTAATTTTATCCCTATCGTGACATATTTCTCAAGTCACGTGAGCAATTATATTTGTAAAATCGTAATTTTCTGTTTTTGCTGATTGTTTTTTTTTATTTCGGACGATGTAATTCAAAATTAAATTTTGCATAAATAAACAAGAATACAATAGTGTTATGATTTGAATTGCTTTAAATTAAAAATAGAGAAAGCTTTAAATTCTCTTACTCATATTGAATTTGAAATAAAAGCACTCTATGCCACCATTTTAAAAATTAATACGACTTGTGACATATCGCTAAGAACTATTTTTAGACCCTATGCAAAAATATGTATTGTAATCACAAAACATTTTCCGATGCACGTCATCAATCATATCGACATTGACACTAAAGTCTATAAACCTGACTAAATGAAATTTTGGCAAAAATGTTTAAACTTGTTGTATAATTTAAGATACCGAGCAGCTCTCCATTTTACTTTATAGAGCAAATGAGTGTAACATATATTTTATTTAGATTAAAGCTGCAAAAATTAGTTTAAACCGAATTTTATTATCGCTATATTGGTCACATTGCACCTTGTTCAGCAATGTTGTCCTTTATTGTTTGACAATTATTATCTTAGTGTCAGTCACTATTTTGTATAATATCGTGTTGTTGAATCTGTGTGAGTAATTCTCGTTTTTGTCTATTTTCATAGTCTTTTTTTAAAAAATGCATTTTAAGCACAAACAGTTCTTTTAAGAACTAAATTTTCGAGTTTTTATATTGCATTTCTTGAAATTAGTGTGTTGAAAATATGCCGAAGCATTTAAACAGTCGAAACAAAGAGCTTGTAGCTTCCCTGTTTTTTAAAACTATTTTGAACGAGAACGTGACAATGAAGCTTCTTTATTACCCTTGACTGAAGTCAGAAAAGTAAGTTTGATTGATAAGCACATTATACCACTTTCAAAGTTAGTTTTTATTAAATTCTGTGATTATTAGTTTGTGCATTAATAGCACCCGCTTATAATACTTGTTATTACCACTTATGGCGTTGTAAGATGTACATCAATAAATAAATATCCCATAATAATGCTTATAATAATCTTCATAATGGACTAGTTTTTGCCAATATGTAATAAGTAAAATAAGCAATAAAACAAATAAATCAATTAATCACTAAAATATTAGTTACTAAATTAAAAGTAAAACGGAAACTCTGTAAAAACTGATATAATAATATCTGTTGTTTGTCGATTTCAAATTAAGATTCATCTCATAAATCCATCACAATCTGGCAGCGCTGTCACCACCGCTTGTCACTCAAAGTTGATCACGTGTATCGGAAATTGTTTTGCGATTACCATATATGGTACTCTCACCTAGTAACAAATCTGTTTTAGGAATCATTTGTTTTTTCATTTAATAACGGTTATCCAAAACGTTATAACACAAAACAAAATAAATACAATGAACGATATTTATTTGCTCTTGTGATTAATGTTCGCTTTCTGTTATATATCTGGTTGATTAGTAAATTTATTTCAGTAAATTCCGTAAGAACTCAGTAACATTGTCATTTCTATAGAAGGAATATGCATTAGATATATCAAGCAATAATAAACGCGTGCCTCACTATCATTCATTCCCTTTCATGCACCTCCTTAACATCTGATATTACCCTTGCCATAAATTTGGACCAATAGTAAAATACATCAACTCACTTTATCGATATCTTTCTCCGTGTCGCTGTCTCTGTCTAATGCTGCCTTCACAGTACTCGCCGAGACGTTCGATAGCTCCTTCTCCAACTTGTTGAGGCTGGTGGTACTACTTCTGTGACTCGCCGCAATACTCTCAGTCTCTTCCAATAGAGTGCTTTGGCGTGTGACGTTTGCTTCGGTTTTGGATGTCTTGTTGGTGGCACGACGTTTGAACGATCGTCTGGCTATGTCGCTTCCTATAATGTTGAAATAATCTACACAAATGTAAATAGAAGAAATTGATTGCCGCTGGTAAGTTACTGCGAATGTTTTATAAAGTGAAAACTCCTTGGCAATAATTTTTTGATATATATGATGAGTATCTATACCTAATTTTTGCGGGAATATGCTTGTAAGTATGGTTTATTTATTTTGATTTAATAATAATAATTAATTAACTAAACTATACCCAAGAACGGTAAACTAATAGGATTGCTCGTCCTCATAAGACGTATGTTAGCCTCTTCCCGCGCTTCAGCAGCCAGTTGTGACGTCATTGTAGTCCTTGTCATGATAGTTTGTATTATTGGTTGCCTATGGTAAACGTATAAAAATAACAGCTGAGAAATTTTGAGTTAATTATTTTGTCGATTTTAAATATGAAAAAGGTGTTTTTAAAGTTTTTAGAGTTAGAGAATGTAGAAATACGTTCATTTTGTGTTGTGGATTATGACTAACCGCCTACTATATTGTTTATTAATTATTTTAAAGCAAAATATGGAAGTACTCTAAAAAGAATGTCTGCAGAAGGTGATGCTGGGAACTGCTGTTCTTAAAAATGCATTATCCGAGTATTTAATACGATTTATACAGTTAATTTTCTATATTGCACTATATTGCATACATATAAGGTGTTTTAATAAACAAACTAAGTAATGAATGTTTTGCATACGGCAACCAATAATATACACACTATCATGACAAAGACTACGATGACGTCACAAAGCGAGGAGTTTTCGCATGCACCTGGCAGACACTTTCGGCTGAATGAGCAGTCCTGTTAGGTTAACTGTTCTTGAACTATACCGGGTCCATCTCAAAAGTGGCTCACCCCTGTAACTTTTTTATTTTTCCAGATAAAAAAACGAGACTTGGTATAGTAGTATATGACCTAAATTAGGATTGATTGACGTATTCCATTGTTTTTGGTCACTTCCTGTTTCGCCGGAAATGACTTCAACTTTTGATTTTTAAATGGCACCCTCGGTATTTTTGAATAGAATGACATATCATATGTCAACTTTTGGCATGCTCGCTTAATAAAAATTCGTATTTTAAATTTCAATCTAACAGAGTGCCATGGCTATGTTAAAAACAATAATCTTTAATCAAGGGGCCTTGGAAAAATAGATTTGATCGTGTAATGTTTTTAGTGTCTTGTCCTGGCCGGTTAAGAGATGCCCAAATCGTATTTTTAATGATATCTCAATTTTTTCAAATGGACCAAGGGTGGCTCATTAGCATATTTGCAAAAAGCATTTTTTTACGAATAATTTCATACTATACACTTGGTATTTCCAGTCAAATTTGCGTTATGAACCGCAATAATATCAAATAAACCATATGGAAAATGTTAAAAGTTGACATATGATATGTCACTCCATTCAGAGTGACATTTTCTATCGAATAAAGTAAGAAAATACCGAGGGTGCCATTTAAAAATCAAAAGTTGTAGTCATTTCCTGTAAAACAGGAAGTGACCAAAAACAATTGAATACCGTCAATGAATCCTAATTTATGTTATACACTAACATACCAAATCTCGTTTTTCTATTTGAAAAAATTAAAAAGGTATAGGAGTGAGCCATTTTTGAGACGCACCCGGTATAAGGTAGTGACAATTTCGATGCTCAACATTGGCATCTCTGAAACTACGAGAGATAGGAATACGGTTAGATGGGACAAAAGTTGCGTAATTAGAAGTTTGACCAACACCTATGAAGAAAACCCCGGTATCTTGATTAGTTTCGGATTTATGTCAATAAAAATAAAAATATTACGTTTATTTTAAATGACAATATCTTCAGAACGATTATATCTATTGCAACGTAAATTGGTAGTTTTATATTTTTGACCTCGGCCAATTAAATGCCGGTTTCAGAACATTTCTAAACCTTCTAGATTTCGGACAACAATCAAGTTTTTGTTTGCTTATGGTCCATTTTGAATTTTTATACTATTAGATAGAGCGCGAAAAAAAGTCTATACGGTGGTATCTAATTTTTATTCATTATTAATGTAAATTCATTAAAAAATTAGATTTTTTAAAAATTCGCCTAATATCAAGTCTGCCTTGATAATCCAATTGACACTTTATATGACAGGAAGTTAATTTTTGTTTCCTCTATTAAGTGTCAAATCTGGACACACAAAAATTAACAGTTCATGCATCCGCAAGTTATAAAACATTGTATCCTGAGAGAACACAGCCTCATCGTACTATTTTCGCAAGGATTTCAAGAAATTAAGCAGTTGCTGGTAGCTTTAAAAAACAAGAGGGCCATATTTTAAAAGGCTCAACGTTATTAATGTACCAGCTCAGATTGAAATAAATTCGGAAACTTCTAGCCGTAAAATAAGTCGCGAGTGTTGTATAAGTGATATAGGAAAAATTATTAAAAAACATAAATAGGTATCACAACATTAAATTTAAATGTGTACCAAATTTTCATGCTGGTGATCACGAGAGAAGATTAGAATTTTGCAATTTTCCCTTTTTTTTCTAAAAAATATTATAGATGGATTAATCTTTATTTACAAATTCTGGTACATTTAACAGAAAAAAATCATATTTTAATGCAAAAGAAAACCATCACTTAATTAGAGAATCCAGACAACAAATAAGATATTCTTTGAATGTTTGGCCTGGCATTCTTGACAATAAAATTTCAGGTTCTGTATTGACCTGAATTGACCTGTATTGAACTATACTATACAATTTTTGTGCGCGTCCAGATTTGCCACTTAATAGAATAAATATAAAATAACTTGCTGACATATATAAAGTGTCAATTGGATTTCGAAGGCAGACTTGTTCTTAGGCGAATTTTTAAAAAATCTATTTTTTAGTGAATTTACATAACAATGAATAAAAATTAGATACCACCGTATACGGTGCCCAAATGACCACCATTTTATTCATAGCGAAAAAAAGTCTATAGACTTTTTTTCGCTCTATCTAATAGTGTAAAAATTCAAAATGGTGGCCATAAAAATATAAAACCCGATTGTTGTGCGAAATCTAGAAGGCTTAGAAATGTTCTGAAAACGGCATTTAATTGGCCGAGGTAAAAAATATAACACTACCAACTTACGTTGCAATAGATGCAATAGTTCTGAAGATATTGTCGTTTAAAATAAACGCATTATTTTAATTTTTTTGACATAAATCCGAAACTAATCAAGATACCGGGGTTTTCTCCATAGGCGTTTGTCAAAACTCTAATTTCGCAACTTTTGTCCCATTTAACCGAATTCGTATCTCTCGTAGTTTATGAGATGCCAATGTTGAGCATCAAAATTGTCACCACCTGTATACAACTGTGTATCATAATATACACTTTAATAATTTTATTTATTACGTTTTATTCTTCGTCGCTGTTGTCTGTTACACCCTTCATCATCTGCAACAGTTTGAAAACTTTGCAGTATATGCAAGTTAGGTTAAAACAAAATTTGCACATACCTGGGCAGATCGATAGATGGTATCGAAGGCATTGTTATTTTTTTGTAAATTGGTCGATGTCGTCTACGTTTATATAATTTTCTTAAATATCATATATTTTTAATTTTCTTCTTAAAGGTTTTATAATTTAATTGTGGTGTTTCTTCAGGTAATATATTGTATTTTGTGGTAGTTTCGTTTGTTAGTTTTTTTATTTAGTTTTCTTGGTTGTTGTTATGTCTGATTTTCTTCTAGTTTTATAAGTGGGTATTTGTTTTTTAGTTTTCAAAATAATATGTGTTTTTATTAATTTATTTTTGGGTTTGTGTAGAAGTAATACCGTATGATCGAAAAAAAACAGCGTCCAGTTGGCTTGGAAATGACGATCGATGACATTTCCCATATAATTTTACATATAAAATGACAGCGATCTTCATTTCATAGCCATCGTTGACGCCGTTTTTATTCGATCATACGGTATATTATGCTATTACTATACCGGGTGCGTCTCAAAAGTGGCTCACCCCTATAACTTTTATTTTTTCAGATAAAAAAAACGAAATTTTGGTATGTTAGTATAAAGCATAAATTAGGATTGATTGATGTATTCAATTGTTTTTGGTCACTTCCTGTTTCACCGGAAATGTTTTTTAAATGACACCCCCGGTATATTTTTACATTATTCGATAGAAAATGACACTCTGAATAGAATGACATATCATATGTCAATTTTTGACATTTTCGTATATAGTTTATTTTAAATTGTAACATGCGGTTCATGTCAATTTAACTTGAAATACCAAGTGTGTGGTACGAAATTATTCGTAAAAAATTCTTTTTCCGAATATGTCAATGAACCACCCCTCTTCCATTTGAAAAAATTGAGATATGATAAAAAATACGATTTGGACATCTCAGAACGGCCCCGGACAAGACACGAAAATCATTAGACAATCAAATCTATTTTCCCAAGGCTCCTTGATTAAAAATTAGTGTTTTTAACACATCCATGGCACTCTAGATTGAAATTTAAAATACGATTTTTTTAAAGCAAAAATGTCAAAAGTTGACATATGACATGTCATTCTATTCAGAGTGTCATTTTCTATCGAATAATGTAAAAACATACCGGGGATGTCATTTAAAAATCAAAAGTTGTAGTAATTTTCGGTGAAACAGGAAGTGACCAAAAACAATTGAATACATCAATCAATTCTGATTTATGTAATATACTAGCATACCAAATCTTGTTTTTTTATCTATAAAAATAAAAAAGTTATAGGGGTGAGCCTCTTTTGAGACGCACCCGGTATATGATTCTTATTAATTGGCTATATTCTGTATTAATTGTCATGTGTTTAGGTCTTTTGTGTTTTGGTATAACTTCTTCTGTTAGAGTTATTGTTTCTAGATTAAATATTATATACATATAGTATTTTATTTTATTGTCTTTGTAGCATGTTTATTTTTTTCTATTGTTGTTTCTTCATTTGTGATGGTATTATGCTTTTAAATTTTATATTTATTAAGAGTTCATTTCACTAGTCCGAAAAAGTAACGAAATAAGCGTTCGGCATTTAACGTTTTATGTAAAAATGGCCAGGTATTTTTACACAAATGAAGAAGGAAATTAAAGATAAAGAATAATTATTCTCTATCCGTATTGTAGCACATTTTTAGACAATTTCTTTATTTTTAAGATTTTGAAGGTCAAACATCAACAAAATATTCCTTATGCTTGGACTAAATTTTCTCAAAAATAAAGACATAATTTAAAATTCCATTATAATACGGAAATAGATTGAAGTTTCTTGATTACAATGATATATAATTTATATGGTTTTGTAACAAATTGCTCGCTATTTTATGGCAAATGCTGAAACTCAGCAACCTTAATCAAGCCTTAATCAAAGCACGTGTGTTTGGAATTTTGGGTATGGCTTAACACGAAAGGATCGGGGTGACCCTTGGGCAGATTTCTGAAATATAATATATATATCCTTAGGCCACACACCCGCTTTACCCGACCCCCGAGAGCGACCGAACAGTACAGCGTAATAGACCCTTCAACATTATATTTTTAGGACTGTGACAATTGTTCGGGCGTTTTCTTTTTTTAAACTACTTATATGTGTGTCCGATTTTAAATTATTATGAATTAATATATAAAATAATTGGATAAATTATATAATATTTTTTATTCTTACCTTCAACAAATTGTGCCAAACTGCAATACTTGCGAGGCTGGTCGTACTCCAGTCGATTGTCTAGGTATACGTGTTGTGACATGAAAGCTCGATTTTCGAATCCGTATTGCGCATCCTCTTCTACTCTCGCTGTCACCGGTGCAGATTTTCTGCGCAAACTGCTCCGCTTCTTTCTATCCAGCGAATCTCGTTTTATGCTCAATTTTCGCTCTGCAAGAAATAACCAAAATTAAATCTAAGAATTATATTAATATTAAGGCCACATTGATATTCAAATGGTATTAAATGATCATCTAATACATGAACAGTGGAAAAAGGCATATATTTCGTCTACGAGGTTACATAAAAAAGGCTCAACGAAGTATCCTTATAACTACTACGGAATTTTGATCGCCAGCACAATGAGTCGGCTCTATGGAAGGATGCTCAGAAACTTAATTGAAGAGGAATACTCCAGCTATTAAGAAGAAGAGCAGAATGGACTCAGAGGCGAACGATCATTCACAGATAATAACTTTGTTATGTATCTTGTATCTATATATATCTTATATATAGATACAATATGTAACTTGTTCATTGAAAGAGATTGAGTTGATTGAGTTGAGAAACTCACTGAGAAGAAATATGTAATGAAGCAGGCAATTATATAATATTCATCGATCTACAAAAAGTCTATGAAACAATGCCAATAACAAAGCTATGGGAAGTATCGCTCGAATCCAGAATTAAAGCATCTCTGATAAAAGCTGCCAAAAATCTTTATACAATAGAGGAAAATCACAAATAAAAACACTCAATAGTCTCTTGGAGAAAACTGCTATCACTAAAGGGCTCCGACAGAGTTGTTGTATGTTCTCAACATTATTTATAATTTATATAGCCAAGGCCTAAGAAAATGTCAAAATGGGTATAGAACTATCTAAGTAATAAAATATATTAAAAATATACAGGGTGTCCCAGAAATAAGTGCAATTATTTTAAGGGGTGGTAGATCTCGATAAAAGAAACATATTTTCTCTTTATCGTTTTTCAAATAAATCCAAAATAACGGAGTTATTTTACTTTGAAAATTTCCAAAAAAAAAATGATTTTTTGCTAAAATTTTGAGAACCACTGGATCTTTTCTGGATTTTCTTTCTAGCAAATTTAATCTAATATCTATGTTGCCATATTATCAAGAAATTATGTTTTTTAACTAAAAACTAAAAAAAAAATCCAAAATTTTTTTCAAAAAATTTCGAATTTTCAATTTTTTTTTCGCGAAAAAAACCTCATAGGCGTGTTTCTGGGGTTGAACTATACTACCAGTTAAAATATTTGCACTTATTTCTGGGACACCCTGTATACAGGCATTAATTGAAATTTTAATGGCCATTTGCACCGTTTTGGATAAACAATGTTTAACTTTTACAGTGATTATAATCAAAATCCAAGGCAATGGTATAAACAATGTTTAAAAAGATAAACATTGTTTATCCAAACGGTGCAAATGGCCATTAGTATGTATGCGAACAAACACGAGAGGCGCTTTATATTTACTTTCATTTCTTAACATGACAGATGAACTTCTAAAGGGGGATGTTTTGTGATTCTGTCTACCTTGCATGGATACATGAATGACATTATACTCATTTCTTAGGGTGTATTCCGTTGCTTACCTTGGTTATGGTTTTATGTTACGTTTCTATCGGTTTGCTGAAAGTTCTCTTATTACGGAACACGGTTCCTGAAAAATCGGTTATAACTGTCATCAAACTAACCAGCGCAGCGCGAAAAGGCTGGTTTTTCTGGTTTTTGTTTTTTCAATCAATGTCATTTATGTGACAGAAATCAAGCAAATATTGGAAGTTCGAGTGAAATTCTCATTTAATTTCTAAAATTTGTAATACTATTTTGTATTTACATCCAAAAGCAATGGAGGTAGGCAGTAAAGGTAAATAATTTTCGTTAACTAAATAGAATTATTTTTTATGACCATTTAAACTTATCATGCAGCCATTGTTTCTTAAAGTCAGGAACATTTAAAGAAAGCCTGAAAAATAAGACAAGTAATCGTGAATGTTTTGTAAGCTATAAAAATATAAATATTGATTATATTTGTTCATTTATTATTGATCTGTTTTAATATTGGACCTGCAAATCTTCACTTGAGCTGTCTAGCGAGTTTAACAGTTTATTAATAAAGTACTTTTCAATTTTAAACTCCATTGAAAAGAGGAAGCAAACGTATAAGCAGAGAATAGGTACATTAAAAATGCATAAAAGATAAATTTTATAATAGAGATATTGAAATTTAGAAAACGTCAACATTTGACGTTTCCAGTATTTTACCAAACCGTTCCGTATCAAACCGATGTTTTTCAGGAGCCACTCTTTAACGTAGTTTACCGGTTTGGTTCGCCTGGTTTTGTAACGGAATACAACCTTAATCTTTTTATTCAAAGATAGACACATAATCTATAACTCACCCAACTCACTATGAAACAGGGTAGTGTCATCGGTGTACGTATCTCCTACACTGTCCTGATCGTATCCGTATAGAATTTCGCCGAGCATCGAGCTGATATCATCCATAAGTGATTCGCCCTGTACCACATCGGATGTCGGATAAGTATCTGTCTCGGGAGAGTCGATGTGACAGATGTGTCCGTTGACGTCTTCGCCGTCGCTGCCCTTCCTGGGAACGTACGAACCCTTGTCCAGGATTTCGCTGCCTATGCTTACTTCTTCGTTGGATATTACCGATATTATACTTGAGCATTCCTGAAAATTAAAAGAACATTGTACAGGGTGGGTCAAATTGGATACTTTTAAAGGGAAACACCCTTCTCTAAAGGAGATACACGAAAACTAATATCGCTGTCTGAGATTTTTTTATCAAAAATTCGATGGTAAAAACCGCACATCGATATCTGTTATCGTTTCGGAGTTACTGGGTGTTTTCCAAATAATGACACTAATAGTATCAGTACATATTTTTTTAAATTAAAAATTAAAGAGTTATCAACAGAAAAATTGATTTTTTATTTGGGACACTTCAAATTACCTTTTCAAAAATATAACGCGTATTTGATATTTTGTTCGAGTCCCCTTCGAAATACAGAATTTTTAAGAGTTTGTCTCTTTCAACCAGTAGGCTTTGGGAATCCCTCATTGATGATCTGCCCCTAATGGAACTCAAAAACATATGTTTCCAGCAAGATAAGGCACCGCCTCACAACGCTGAAATTTTCAGCGATATTTTCGAGAATAATTGGATAACTAACTAAGGTCTCAGCCGTTGGCTGTCAAGGCCGCCGGACTTAACGCCTATGAATTTTATTTTTGAGGAAGATTACAGGATCTTATTCTTGCCCGTATATCTATCCATGAATTAGTAGTACTTATGCGAAGGTATCTTTGACTCCCACTGAGTTAATAAATTTCGCGAGAAATGTTCAGAAACGGTCCCGTCTGTGCTTAAAGGCGGGCGGCCACTGCGAGCGAAACTAAACTAAGCCAAGCGAAGATAAGATTTTTAAAAATCAGCTCCTATACTTTTAAATGCATCAGCGGCCACTTGAGCGAAACTAAACGAAAATATATGAACGAAGATTCGAATCGTAGTTTAGTTTCGCTCGTTTGAGTTCGTGACAGGTTCCAGCGAATTTTTCGCAGCGATTAGTTCTATGACAGCAGAGATACAATACGAAAACGCAGCTAACCTAGCTGACTACTGAGTGAAAATCGTTCCCAGTGGCCGATGAAACTTATTTTAGTTTAGTTACCGTTTGTTTTCATATTCTTAGCTCAGTTTAATTACGCTCGCAGTGGCCGCCTGCCTTAAGAGAAGACAGTCTCTCTCAGCCATTTTTGTTTCCTCGATTTCGAACCTGCTACTTTAAGGGTGGGTTCTACAAAGCAAGTATATACCAACTATAACCAATTCTCGGAATAACTATTAAACTGTACGTTCAGTAAGTATATAATATTTGGAAAATAATTATTCCGAATTTATACTTGCTTTGTAGAATTACCCCTAAATATTCAATTTTAACTTGTATGTAATAAGGGAAACTGTATACTTATATTTTTTTCCATATAGTACATACGGTCCATAAAAAAACGTAGCAAATTGGGTTAAAAGCATGAAACTTGGCACAGTTGTTTAATATGTCATTTTACGCTATTTTACCCGCAGCACCTAAAATTTCACCCGTTGGGGTAGGGTTGCAACCCTTATTTAATTTTTAAGGGGTTAAAATTTTTCACAAATTTATTTCAATATTTTTGTTTAATTTTAGTGCCTTTTTTGACTAATTCGAACATGAAGATTTAAAAAAAATACGCCAAATTGGTATAACTTAGCTTATAAAGTGTCAAAATTTCATTCTTTAACATATTTATCGTATCCTAAGCAAAATGCTGGATATTTTTGTAAGTTTTGGTAGGAAAAATGTAATTTAGTTTGTGGCAAGACCATGGGCGCACCCATGGGGGGAGAAGGAACGTTATTCCCCCCCCCCCCTTAGATGCACCGTCAAGGATCCTTTATACCAATTTGGGCAATACTGCACAAACTGGGACTAACGTTTTGTTTAATAAAAAAATAAGTTTATATTTAATCTTAATTAGTTTGTTTCTAGTTACGTAATAACAATAAAAAACAAGTATAAGCTGGCTTCTTAGGTATTTAAAATTCATTGAAATCTCAAGCTGCAACAACTAATAGTTTTATTATAACTTTTACCTTCTTCAGAATCGTTTACCTCCTATTACCTCTCCTTTGCAGTTTCTGCAGGCGATTGTACACGGTAAGTCATGTTTTTTGCAGGAACACCGCATTGTTTCACATTGCGTGTTACACCCAGTATCGAGTGACCTGCATGACTCCCAATCTTGGGCTTTTTTCGACCACAGTGGTACCCATTTTCTTTCAACCTCCATCCATCCCAAGCTAATTAGAGCAGGTAGATCATCTTGATATATTTGGTCAGCTCTACCCCAAATATGACCCGCCTGGTATGCTGCCCTTCATGTAGAGCAGCTCGAGTTGGTGGTATAGCCGTAAGTGGCCTATTTTCAGTTGCAAACAAGGGTTTCCTGGCCATAGTTATATTATTAGACTGAACATTATATAGGCGTACCGTTGAGGAAAAAAAGATATAGTTTTGATATAGCTAAAACCAAAATGTCAGTGTCAGCACAACGAATTAACGCCGATTTGGCTCCGTTAATAATCATGTCTTTAACGTGCATGATTATTCGTCCATCTGCTTCCTCCATCTGGGCACAGGTTACACCTTCTAAGTTAGTAAAACGGCCAGTTGATGACCTGCAGCTGTCGCCCACATTAGTTACTACATTATAGGAGTTACAATTCTCAATAATACTTTCCAGAATACTTACATACTTTCCAGACTTTTACACATAACCGTATCTTCTTGCTCATCTTTAACATTACGACTACTTCTTTTGTATAGATGTGCCAAACACTTTACATGGTATATGGCTTCGTGGGTTACCAAATCGCCTTCTACCAGTACGGCTAGAAGGCGCGTATCACCAACAATTTTAGCTGACTTATAACTTGCTGGAAAATATATATATTTTTATAACTTCCTTTTTAAATTGTCACAGTAGCACACAAATGTAAAATATTTTTTTTATTACCTGTTTCAGTGCATATGAAACAAACATCTTTTTTACATTTACCAATGGTGCAGTTGATCCTGTTGCTCGAGCAGAATTATTCCCCCCCATCCCCCACCCCCTTTGTTGCGAAATAGATGCCTGAGATTGTTCTTGAGACTCACAGTAACATGCTGCCCCATTAGATTTAGATAATAAAAAGAGGAGTATTGTAGCATTTTTATTTTCTAAATGCTACTTTGTTTTATTATAGACGGTACAACACTTAAATTTCGGAACACCCTCTATCGAAAATATTGGATCGTACCCTGGTGTATCGACAAGACGGGAAACATCAAAATCATTACCTCGGATTTGGCCGGCCGAGGTCAAGAACGGTTAACCTAATAGGACTGCTCATTCAGCCAAAATTGTCCGCCAGGTGCATGCGAAAACTACTCGCTTTGTGACGTCATTGTAGTCCTTGTCATTGTTATTAGTCCTTATCCGGCAACCAATAATACACACACGTGCATTATTGGTTGCCGAATGCAAAACGTTCATTATTTAGTTTATTTATTTAAACACCTTATATGTATGCAGTATAGAAAATTAACTATATAAATCGTATTAAATACTCGGATAATGCATTTTTAAGAACAGCAGTTCCCGGCATCACCTTTTGCAAGCATTCTTTTTAGAGTACTTCCATATTTTGCTTCAAAATAATTAATAAACAAAATCGTAGGCACTTAATAAGCACTTTGTCACAATCCACAACACGAATAAATTTATTTGCGTAAATCTCCTGTTACTCCCTATGAAGATCCTTTTTTAGTATAATTTGGTATACAAGGCCAGTATATTTTTTATAATTTTATTAATTTGATTTTAAATAATCATTAGTGTGTTAAGAAATTATCTATTCTTAACATTTTACATTTAACCGGTTAAGTACTTGCCTTCAGCATTACTTTAACCTTTAATTTATAAAATTTAACGCTCTGTTATATTTTATATTTTTTTTAACACTTTAAGTATTTGCCTTCAGTATTGCTTAAATTTTACTTGTATTTGGTTATTAAAATAACCATGTTATATTGATTGATTATTCGGATTTAACATCTATTTATGTTAACCTTTTATATCATTACGATCTTTGACCTGTAAGGGCAATCTTGGGTACAGATTTTAATATTTTTCCCTTTAACTATATATAAACAAAAAGGTTCATGAATCTTCGTAATAAGTCAAGTCAAATTTAAATATTTATTATTCGAATATAACCAAAACCGTCTCTAAAAAGTATTCCTTTTATATTATAATTGTTTGAATAATATTTGAAAAGATATAATTTGATTTTAAACAAGTTTTAAGATAGGGTTTCTTAAATATAATTCTTGTATATTAATGTATATAACTGCTGTGCCGAATAGGTACCGAATATTTCTAACAAGTAATAAATCTTATTTTTTTGGGTATTTGAATTGTTTCATTGGTTGATCCGGTTTCTCAAAATATTTAAGAGCTATACTAATTTTAGTTTCCATTCAATTAATACACTTGTACAAATTTTCTTATTTCAGTTTGTACTATCCTTTGTAAAGTACCAGCATCTTTTTGAAATAAATGGCGCCCTTTGGTATGCAGTGTAAGATATAGGTGGGTATCAGATTTTTAGTCAAGTGCAGAAGCAAAAGCTTGTTCCCACTGCCTCCGATATAAGAGTAGCCGTTCGCAATATTTTGACTTAAATTTTCAATAAAAGGAAAGTTTTTTGTCACAGTATGTCAAATTTTGGGGGATGAAACGTATTTTAAGTTGCATGCTTTGTGCAAATAGATGCCTGAGATTGTTCTTGAGACTCACAGTAACATGCTGCCTCATTAGATTTAGATAATGAAGAGAGGAGTATGTCAAATTTTGGGGGGTGAAACGTATTTTAAGTTGCATGCTTTGTGCCACAGTGCTTTTTTTTCGATTAATGTTTGCTCAATTTCTCCTTCCCCTTTAAGACAATTAATTTGCATTCCAGATGGAAGTACGTGATTGTTATTAGTTAAAAGTAGTAAATTAGAAGCTAAAGTACCATATCCTTTATTTCGAAGCGAAACAACTGGATTATATGCAGGACAAACAGTTTTTCCACCATC